TTCAATTGGTGTGTAAATGAATGCTCTCCAAGATTTTTGAACGTACCGAAGAGAAGTCAAAAACCTTTATACATCTCGAAACACCAGCAGTGGCAAACAACTCATCATCACGATCAAACTCTATGCTGAAAATGAACAGCACCCTCGGTATTAGTAAGTCTCAGCAAGATGGTCATTGGCTTAGAGTTCAGAGAAAGTATAAAGCACATAAACTACGGAAAGGACATAAATCAAAGCACATCGAGAGAGAAAGATAATGGAGCCACAGGGGCAACTGAAAAATATTTCTGTTCTGTATTGAGAAAAAGATACTTTCTTTCAGATAAAAGACAGCAAACAACTTTAACGTATTTTCTAAAACACATAAAGACAACATAGTGTTCCATCTTTTGGATGCCGAAAACACACAACCTTGTCCCTGCTATATCAGAAAGTTCTTCTTCTTACCATTCACTGGCTTAGGATTTATACAGCAACGGATCCCATAATAGTAATTGCGTCTATCCATATATTAAACAAAGCTTGATCACTTAAGGGGTATATTGATATTTTCTGGACACTAAGTTAGAAAACATTCTTTTATTAGTTACACTACCTACCATCTGATACTACGAACAAGGAGAAAGAACTCACCTTGATACAATGTTCGCTGAATGAAATATATCTCCATGCCGGATTTCCGCTATTACTCTCAGACGACTGTAAATAAAGAGTGCAATTAAAAACCCGATATTCTGAGAACACATTCAACGCACGACTAGACCAATTAGAAAGGGGCAGTCACTAATCAACCTGTAGCGAGTGAAGGTAGTCAGCACAGACTGAAAATCTGCAAGACCCATGCTATAGCCTTCCCTACGTATCACACTCTTATCACTTTCTTGATTAATATGTGGTTGGTCTACCAACTGCCGCCGCTTTTGGAGGTAACATTCTTGTAGATCATTGAACTACAAGACAAGATACCTAACCGGAATTAGCCAATCAAGTCTATATATCAACAAGCAATTACAGATAAATACAAAGGACATTGCAGAATAATTTTAAAAACTATTATAAATATCTAGATGCCATAGAATAGTAGCGACTTCTATCACTAACCAAGAGTCCAGAACGCTATCCTACTTCTACATCATGCAAACACTGTGAATTAAGTCACTCTGAAGCCAATCATTTTTTTAATACAAACTACCAAAGATGTGTTAATCAAAAGCCTCCTTTCACGTTCAGTAAGAAGATTCATATTCTACCCACAACCTCATATTCTTGAGCGGTCGATCCAGCCAACTACGAGAAGGTTGGCTTGGTACAGTACTTATTGTAGCAATATTACTGGAGTCTAATGCTATCGATCTGTTTCCTCTTTAACAGACAAATTCTGAATTTTCAATTGCATCGTCCTTGTGCATATTCAGACTAAGTGGCATGTTTCAAGATAAAGAGTACGAAAAAAAGAACAAACCTGAGCATGGATCCGTTTCTTTCTAGCCATTGAGACAGTTGATTGATTCAAACTTTGGGAATCTGACCCACTCAATGCGTCCTTCTTTGGCAGCCCATGAGAACTTCCTTGTGCCTTTCCCTCTATCTTTTTGTTTTGAAAATTACCTAATGAATTTCCTCCTCTCATGCTCAAAGAATTGGAGTTGAAACCACTGTGGTTCTTCTCCAGTGGCCATGCATTTCTTGTGCTCGGATCATCTCCGAGCATCCGCAACTTCACCGAATACCTATCCCGAGCACGGTACAAATCTATTCTATGTCTCTCAACGGCATTAATATCTTCTTTAATATACTGGAGATCAGTTTGCACCTACATTAAGTTAGAAAAGATGAAATCAATGAAAGAATTCTATTATTCTTCATGAAAATCCATCTATTACATTCGTTATTGATAGAGAGATGGTTTATGTATTTCTTCTTTAACAATTAATTTCTTCATTTCAGCGAATATATACCCGGAAAGCCTCTTTGACGATAAAATAACAAGATCAAATTTCAAATGCAATGAATTGAAGAGCAGCAAGAATAATTATTAATTGGTAAAACTTCATGCTACTACAGGATCCAGACAAACCAACCTCATTTAGTTCATCAACTTTCTGCTTCCTCAGACAATGCAAAAAGTCCAACAGTATTTGCATGTTCCTCTCAGCTTCTTCCTGTTCCATTTTTCTCTTCCTTTCCGCAAGAAGTGACAGAAGATTATCAACCTCCTTAATTGACACATCACAACCCTGTCTAAGGATGAATGGAGGAAGTCAAAATTTGATCAAAAGGAATGACTTTAGAAAAAAAAGAATTAGTTTTACTCGAATATTAAATCTAAGAATGCCAACTTATAGAGGAGGAATGGTAGACAAAGGCTTGTCAAGAACCGACCCTTTGTAGTGCCTCCCGAAACTGATCCAAGGGCGATGCAGTTTTCGACACTTGCCGAGCTGAAGTTTTCTTCAATAGCTACACAAGTGGCACAGAGAAACCATATAATAAGCTACATTCCAGAGATAGATAGTTTCAAAATACTACTGTTCCTTTAACCATGCTTCTATTTCAAGTTCAGCAGAAAAAAAACAAAGGTCATATATCGAGCATGTACAACGTCAAAATGCTAACCCTCTCAACTGTGAACTGTAATAAGCAAAATCCTACCATAAACGACGCACCGAAAACAAAACGGTTCTTAGTATTCTAATCACGTAGTAACGACCCTTGCATCATCATTACCTCTATCGATGTTAACTCAGTGAGAAAAATGAAAACGCAGGTTCTCGAGAAAGACATAAATTGATCCACAGAATCTCTTTCACTGAAAATCTAATGCTATGGTTTATTGGCATTCGATTGAAGACGAAGCAGCTTCCTTAATTCCACAAAAAATCAAAACAAAAAACGAACTCAAAATTCAAGCCAAGACTCAAAACGAGCAGCCCCGAGACTAAAATTGAAAAGCTAAGCCACCCAAATTACTGAAATTTTTTCGCTATCATCGGCACAAAGAAGCATACAACTGACTCTGCAAACACAATTCTGAGCAAAATTAGAAAGAAACCTTATCGAGTAAGAAATTAGGGTAAAGCTGATTATTGGTGAGGTGTTGGCTACAACAGGGACAATCGCTCTTGTGCCTAAGGTGTGTGATGATACACATATAGCAGAAACTATGGCCACACGCCGTGAGGAAAGCATCCTTTATAATCTGCATACAAATCGGACAGAGCAAGTCCTTATCTAGATCCGGAGCTCCAATATCTGAACCACCGTCTCCACCGCTTCCTCCGTCGTCAATTTCATGGCGGTGAGCACCCTCGCCTACGGGGGATGTTCTCGGGTCGGGTTTCACAGCCGGAACTAGCGGATCCGTAGAAATCTCTTCCATAAATTTTCACTTAATTTTCGAAATATCTTCTTCTTCGACGGAGAGGGTTAGTTTCAGAAAATCGGAATGGAAGGGAAAGAGTGGTGGGTATGGCGGAGATGAGGAGGAGTGAGGCTGGGAAGGTGTGTGGGATCCACGGTGGTTCTTTTCTGAGGATACAAAAGTTCCACGCTGTTTGCCTACGCGCTTGATTGGCGCGTGTGGCTGAAGTTTTTTTCAAGTGCGGGTACGGGTCATTTCACCGGTCTATCTCACGACCGGGTTTTCCGGTTTAATGATTTTTTGTTTTTCTCTTTATGGTTGGGGGTTTTCCGGTTTGATGAACTTGTTGTCATACAAAAATCTTCAAATGATTGATCTTGAGATCTTGTAAGAACTAGAACATGTTTTTTTTTTTAGTCAAAAAGTTTTTGATTTCTGTCCGTAATTTTGTTGGGTTTGGGGATCAAAAGTAAGTTATTTTATCATTAAAATAATTGATAGGGATTTAAAAGATAAAAGTAATGTTTTATTTTGTTGTTTTAAAAAAAAAATCATAATCTCTGTAAAATTTTAGCAGAATTTTACGAGTTTTAAAAGTACTAAATCTTACGGAAAACAGTAATAGTAGAGAGAAATGAGGCATAAACAATCAAAAATCTTCTAAACACATATACAACTAAATGTAATAAAAAAGTTTAATTATTACTTTAATTGTTATACAATAAACCATGTGCACAATAAAACATATCTAAAGTAGTAGTACTATATTTCAAAATTATTTATTTACATATTTTCAATACTTATATATTATTTGTCCTATATATTTAATTATATATTTTATTTGATAAATCATCAACGCAAATATTAGAGGTTAATTCTCTTTTGGTGCATAGCATGGATCAAAATCTACTATATATTCTGATTTTGTTTATTTTTTATTATTATTGTGTATATTTAGCTATAACATATTTAGCTATAACATATTTCAAAATACATTTTCGCGTCATCTATTTAATCTAAAGCTAAGTTTGAATTATTTTTTTGATCTGCACTGAATTTAAAATGTACTATATATACTGATTTTGTTTATCTTTTTTATTTTCGTGTTTAAATTAGATATAAAATATTTCAAATTATGTTTTCGCGTTATGTATGTAATCTAAAACCAAGTTTGAGTTATTTTTCTGATCCGTGCTATGCACGGAATTCAAAATTTACTATATATACTGATTTTGTTTATTTTTTTCATTTTCGTGTTTAAATTAGCTATAAAATATTTCAAAATACGTTTTCGCAATGTATATATTCAAATCATTGGATCTAAAACCTAAAACCAAGTTTAAATCATGTTTGGTAGATCTTTCTAAAATTTATTAAATGCGGTTAAAGATTTACCTCCATTAACAGATATCACTAAACTACATATGATGAAGGCCATTTCCGAAAGAAAACAAAAATCAAACCAAAAAAACCATTCTATTTTGAAGTTTGTTTTTTTATCTTAATTCTGAAGGTTATATACATATATTAAAATACAGATGACAAAAAAAAAATACATATATTAAAATACCGAAAAAAAGTGATATTTTTTTTTTAATTTTCCCATCACACCAAACGTTCCCTCTCTTTTGCGTTTTCTGGGAAACCCAATAGACTGACGAAGAAGAGAAATGAGCTAAATCCCTACTGCTCATCGTTTCACCACAAACCCTACAAACCTTATCTCAAGGTATTCCCCCATTCTTACTCGACTTTCCATTCTCTCTTCTTTTTCTTCTTCTCCGATTGTTTGTATTACTGTTCGTGTCGCTGATTGATTCCCTTGTGTCCGAGAGGTGTTTCCGATTTCCCCTCGTTTTCTTGAGTAGTTTCCCTCGCCAAAACCTCGCTCGCTGTTGTTTAATTTTTGTTGATTTAGAGCTAGGTTTTCTCTTTCCGAGTTTTCCTTTTGAAAAATTGCATGAAGCTTGGATTTTTTTATGTTGTTTTATGATTTTGGCTGCATCGATTCCCTCTTGACAATCGTGTTATGATACTGCATGCCACACTCGAAATTACGGGCTGTTTGTGTATTGTTCTCAATATTGTATATAGCCTCCGACCTTAAAGGAACTAAATCATTGGAAATGTGTGAAAGCGGGTCTATAGATGCTTTAATTTTCATTGCTGATTGCCTCGTTTGAGTAAATATTTTCTAGGTTCTGTATAGTCTATAGTTTTCTTGGTCTTGACATGAGTTGCTTCTCGGTTCATTCAGGAGACAAGCTTCATGTCTCTAATGTTTTTCCTTTTTGAAATTTCATGGATACTGACTTATTTTTTTGATATGTTTATCATCTGTTTGATGGTTTATTATTCGGTGTTTTGTCTTTCCGAAGTCCTATGAACATTATGTTTTGGCTGATTTTTGCCACATTGTAACCAACCTTCAGTTTTCTCTCTTGCAGATCATTTTAGTCAGGAAGGATGGAGATATCTTCATCTTTGCCACCCATAATTATAAATTCAGATCAGGCCAGCCGTCGAGATTATGCTATCACAACTAGAGCCGGGCTTGGGAGGACAGGTAGCCGAATTGAATTGTCTTCCAATCACTTCAATGTTTCTGTGAGACAGCCGGATGTAGTGTTTTACCAGTACACTGTAAGATTTGTTCTGTCTCTTTTATGTATTCTGTTATCATTGTCTGTGTGTGTATGAGATGTTTAACAAATCCGTGCTTTTTTTTTTGCAGGTTAGTATCACCACAGAAGACGGCAAAGATGTCGAGGGGAAAGGAATAGGCAGAAAGCTTATTGACCAACTTTACAAGACTTACTCTTCTGATCTCGATGGTAAGAGGTTGGCCTATGATGGAGAGAAGACTTTGTATACTGTTGGTCCTCTGCCACAGAAAGACTTTGACTTTCAGGTCATCTTGGAAGGTTCATTTTCAAAACGGTATGTTCCTCTTATCTGGCTTGATTTTTAATCTTTTCAAGGTGTACAAGTTAGACCTTGTAGATGTGTTTTTGGCATTTTTGCTAAAATCGGTCTTGTTAATACTGTAGTGACTCTGTTGTCTTCGACGGTGGTAGTCCTTCTGGTACTTGCAAGAGATCAAAGCGCTCTTTCCTGCCAAGAAGTTACAAGGTTCAAATACAGTTTTCTACAAAAATACCGTTTAAGAGTACTCTTGACACTCAGAGAAGAGTTGATACACCAGATAAGAACGCTCATGATCCACTTAGAGTGCTTGACACTGTACTGAGGCAGCAAGCAGCTGAAAGGTGCATTGTTCTATCTGTTTGCATGTGCATTATATGTTTTCAGTGAAAAGTACTGTCAACATTCTTATGGACAAAAATTGTCATCATATTATCATTTTGTTGGTATATACAATAGATGTGCAATTGTTTAATTTTTGTGACCATGATAAATGCTTATATAGAACCATTGACTGTGCAGGGGATGTCTTTTGGTCAGACAGGCATTTTTCCATAACGATAAGAACTCTGTTGAGGTCGGGGAAGGCGTAGTAGGTATTCGAGGTTTCCACTCCACCTTCCGTCCTACCCATGGAGGACTCTCGCTTAACATTGGTATTTTTCGTTTTACCTTTATCATCTCCAGGTTTCATAAACCTCTTTTTATATCGTTGATAGATTTTTTTTTTTTTTTTTTTTTCATATTGCAATGATTTGCAGATGTGTCAACAACTATGATTCTAAAACCGGGTCCTGTTATTGAATTCCTGAAAGCCAATCAGAATGTTAAGTTACCAAGACATATCGACTGGAATAAGGTAGTTCTGGCTTTTAAATGCAATAACTAAGAACATGCCAGGTTGTTCTTGTTTTGAGCTTTTTATATCTTATTTGAACCTTGGCAGGCCAGGAAAATGCTTAAAAATCTGAGGGTAAAGGCATCACACCGTAACATGGAATTCAAAATTATAGGTTTAAGTGAGAAGCCGTGCAACCAGCAACTGTATGTTTGACTTCCTGTTCAATATAATTTTTGTCCTCTATCAGCCGTTTCTTGACTTTTTTCATCGTTTTCCAGGTTTTCAATGAAGATTAAAGATGGTGAGCGTGCAGGAGAGACTAAAGAGATTACTGTGTATGAGTATTTCAAGCAAACTTACACAGATCCTACTGAATCTGCGTACTTCCCATGCCTTGATGTTGGCAAGCCAAATCGCCCCAACTATCTCCCACTGGAGGTATGCACCTCAAGCAGCTTTTCCTTAGTTAATTTTGTTTAGTCTATTATCCTTCTTCTGTTTTCTTCTATATTTTAATTTCCATTCCTTTTCTTGCAGTTTTGTAGTCTTGTATCTCTACAACGTTACACAAAAGCATTGTCAGGGTGGCAAAGAGCTTCACTTGTTGAAAAATCAAGGCAAAAACCTCTAGAGAGAATTAAAACGCTCAATGATGTGAGCTTCGGTTTCCGACCTCAGATGATGCTTTATCTATATTGGATGGCTGTTTATTGCTAATGACTATAATTCCCAGGCAATGGGCACCTACCGCTATGATGAAAACCCGTTCTTGGCTGGATGTGGCATCTCTATTGAAAAACAAATGACTCTAGTCGAAGGCCGGGTTCTCAATCCCCCAATGGTAAACCTGTTTATGTTTTGTGTCTACATAGAGAGGTATGCAGTGCCATGCCAATTCTAATTAGTTCTTATATATTCTTACACTCATGTTGTTGTTACATTTGTATACACAGCTGAAGTTTGGAAATAATGAGGATTTCTTACCTCGCAATGGACGGTGGAACTTTAACAACAAGGTAATCAGTCTGCAAAGATTTCTGTTCATCACTATATTAATTTTTGTGGACTGGCAGAGGTTTCTTATTCTTTTTATGGTTTGGAATGAACTCGTTACTCCCAAACTAGTCCCTTTCTCTTTGCTATTTTACCCGTTGTTTCTTGCTCTGCAGATACTTCTTGAACCAAGAGCTATTAAGGACTGGGCTGTCGTCAACTTTTCTTTTCCATGCGACATTAGTCGCCTTTCTCGTGAGCTCATAAGCTGCGGCATGAGGAAAGGCATTGTAGGTTCCGCAGATACTGTCTCCATTTTGAAATGGTGTATAGAGTTAAAATATGTCTGGTTATTTTCAGAGTCTCAGTCTCTTTTGTTTAAATCATTTAGGAAATTGATCGGCCTTTTGCACTAGTTGAAGAGGATTACCAGTATAGAAAAGCGGGTGCTGTTGAAAGGGTAGAAAAAATGATTGCAAAGATGCAGTCAAAATTTCCTGTCGATCCTCCATTTTTCGTCCTCTGTGTCCTGCCAGAACGGAAGAATTCAGATATCTATGGTATCATCTCACCTTTTTCTGTGTAAATTTTAAGTTTCCACTCACTCGTTTAACTGGTCTTTACAAACTATAAAGGTCCCTGGAAGAAAGTATGTCTCACTGAAGCAGGGATCAACACGCAATGTATCTGCCCTACCAAGATCAATGACCAATATCTCACCAATGTACTCCTGAAGATAAATTCTAAGGTATATCACCACCCAAACTAACACTTGAGAAATCCTATGCTGTAGTGTTCTCCGTAAATTGACCTCTTTTACTCCGTCTTAATCTAGCTTGGAGGCATCAATTCTCTGTTGGGAATAGAGTACTCTTGCAACATTCCATTGATAAACAAAATTCCCACCTTAATCTTGGGTATGGATGTATCTCATGGATCTCCAGGTCGTGCAAGTGTTCCTTCAATAGCAGCGGTATTGTTGTTTTCTTACTTTTCTTTGTCCTTTGTTTGTCCTTCGTTCGTTCACTGTTTCTGGTTCTCTTAGAATCCGATTCTTCGTCTGTTTACTTTTTTCGTGTCTCGTCCCCTGCTACAAGGTTGTTGGTTCAAAATGCTGGCCCAATATCTCAAGGTATAGGGCAGCTGTAAGAACCCAGTCTCCAAAACTGGAGATGATTGATTCGCTCTTCCAGCCTGTTGAGGACACTGAGAAAGAAGACAATGGTATCATGAAGTATGTGAACGCTATTCAATCACCTCTATTTCTGTCTTTTTTTTTCTATTCTAAAATCAAGGACTAATCAGTTATCACAAGATATTTAAGTGTCTTCACTATGCTTAATTTTCTGTTTCCAACCAGCGAATTGTTTCTAGAATTTTACCAGACAAGCAACAAACGAAAGCCGAAGCAGATTATCATTTTCAGGTACTGTTAGAAAATTGTACTGTTTATCTTTGATTTTTAACCTGCAGTATTTAAGAGTTGATACTTTACATAATCTTGGGCGTATATGTTAGGGATGGAGTAAGTGAATCACAGTTTAACCAAGTCCTGAACATTGAGGTGGACCAAATTATAAAGGTCTTGTTACAAGTTCCTTGGCCGGTTCCGGCTTCTACCGAATTCTGTTTTCAATATGTTTCCAGTGAAAGTATTATATTGACAGTTTGCTTATTTAACACGGTTCAGGCGTATCAACGTCTTGGTGAAACCGATGTGCCAAAATTCACTGTCATTGTGGCTCAGAAAAACCACCACACCAAGTTGTTTCAAGCTAGGGGTCATGAGAATGTTCCTGCAGGTAAAGTATGCTTTTTTTCTTCTGCATCAGTCCCGCTAGGATTCATTTTTTTCTTTCTTTCCAGAACTGTTTCATCATAAAAAAATACAATTCCCGTTCGACAGGAACCGTCGTTGACACCAAGATTGTACACCCGACAAACTATGATTTCTACATGTGTGCTCATGCAGGAATAATAGTAAGTTTAGAACCCCCCCAAAAAAATATGTTGCCTCTTTAGTCTCAAACGTTTCACTCACACCTTGGCGATCTCAGGGAACTTCAAGGCCGGCTCATTATCATGTTTTGCTCAATGAGATTGGTTTCTCTCCCGATGACTTGCAGAATATCATCCATTGTCTCTCCTATGTGTAAGCTCTCTCTACTACACAATCCAACATTTCACTTAGTAAATCCAATTCCATATTACTATGTACTAAAGATCTTATCTTGTTGCATCGTCGGTCCAGCAACCAACGGAGCACGACTGCAACCTCAATTGGTAACACTTTTTATAATCAAACTTTCTTGTATTAAAAAATGCAAAGTCTTCTTCTTTAGTCTTTACTATACAGAAACCACAGTGCCCAAACACTCAGTGTGTCCTCTCTTTGTGTTGTTTTTGCTCAGTGGCTCCAGTGCGATACGCTCATCTCGCAGCTGCTCAATTTGCGCAATTCAATAAGTTTGAAGGTATATCGGAGGACGAGAGAGTTCCAGATCTTCCTCGTCTGGACAAGAAAGTCGCAAGCAACATGTTCTTCTGCTGATTAAATAAAAGTAGTAATTCTGCTTCCTCCTCTCTCTCTCTCTCTCTCTCTCTCTCTCTCTCTCTCTCTCTCTCTCTCTCTCTCTCTCTCTCTCTCTCTCTCTCTCTCTCTCTCTCTCTTTCTCTCTTTCTCTCTGAACTATAATCTCTCTTTAGAGGAAACTTAACGTTCTGGACAATGGATGGCATTCATCATCATCTAGCGTACAGTTTGAAGAAAAGTATAGAGGAGCCCTGGCGTAGATTTTTTTGGAAAGAGGCTCGTAGGCTTATTCTAAATCTTAGCCCAAGTTTTAAAAAAAAAAAAAAAAAAAAAGTCAGTGTGTTTAGCGTTTTTGTTGATTGTCATAAAACCAGCGGTTTACAAGCTTGGGTTTTCGGATTTTTAGTGTGTTCTTACCAACACTAGTCTTCTTTTCATAAGTTAATAGCT